TTGTTACTGTAATTCTTTACAGTACGTGTGTCCTGTTTTAAGAGCCTTTATATTAACACCATCCTTAATAGAGATGGTACAGTGAAATATATTTATACACACATATGCTGTATATATTTATATACATATACATTTCATGTTATTGTGATTAAGTTAACATTCTATATTATTGTTGTAAACGTTTTATTTATCTTTCCAGTTTGAACGAAGCATGTTATTCACTTGGTACCAGTTTATGTATGTTGTTTTTGTTATTTTAGTCCGAAAGAGCCGAATTAGAAATATAAACTTGTCACATGTCTATACTTTCAACTTCTGTATATGTCATTCTAGTTGAGGATTATTTTATGAAATAGTTAAGGCACATCTTGTGCGACAGAAAAAAACCAGTTAACATTTTCTAAGGCCAATGTATGTTCTTTCAAACCAATAAAGTTATTTCAGAACTGTAATGCATTACAGGCTTGTGAATCAAGACAAGTCAAGAATATTAATACGACAATTAAGAAGATAATGCAAAGAGTTTGAAGTTCTTGTGAAAGTAGTTTATTTATGTAGTTAGCTTAAATATGCATTTAAAATTTTCAAGCGAATAAGGTAATACTTGAATTACTTCACATGTTGAATTTATCTTTTGACTCACCAGTGACAAAAGTCGATGAAAAGTGGCCAGTTTTCCACCACCTTCGAGAAGGATGTGAGGTTAATCAATTATAATTTATGCAAAATCGTGTTTTAACAATTATTTTCATTGCTAGAAATGCACGAGGAATCGGATATATAAAATATGCTCCCGTTACCATGCAATGATGTTTATAACATGCTCCTGATGCGATCAGAACGATTTATTTCATAACAAACATTCTGTGATTATTGACGTGGTATAGTTCAGTTATACTAAATACTAGGAGCAATCTTTTCATGCAATTTACTGACTTATACGTTGCCTTCACAATTTCAAACACATTTCAATAACTTTTCTGGTAAACATGGCCAAATTAACTGATATCACGCGTTTGTTGAACTGAAATGGTATCACTCGGATTTTTCGTTACGGGAATAGGTCGAACACTGCAATGAATACTAGGAATCGTTTCAGAGGATTGCAGTTGATGAATATGCCACAGAAACAAGGCCCGTCATCCCAGAAACAAATACCGGTGTATATTAAAATTTCTGTCAAAAGGTCATTTCACAAGTAAATTCAACTTACATTTCTAAGTCCAGTTGGTGAATCTTCAATGTAATTCGGATGAAAAGGCAATTTTTGAAGCGCTATAACGAACTTGGAAACCTTAAAAGACAAGAAGCGAGCGGAGTCTGCAGAGATCTAATGCTAAAAGGGGGTAATTTTTATTTAGACATAAATGATTTTTCTTGTTAGGCTGCGCCATTTTGAATTCTATTTGCCGAACTGTGGACCCTATTTTCTGGCATGCTGCGAGTTCGCCGGCTCGAATAGCCTGGAACATCTGTCAACGCATATTGTGCCGTATGCTTAACATTATTGTTATCAAAGGGGAGTAACCGGTAACGGAAAAGCAGCCGACTTGGCTCGAAACGCAACGAGTCGCATGTCTGGAAAATATGCAAATGACAAGAAGGTATGCACAGCGCCCTTGAACTACTTTCCATGTCTCCTTGCGCGGGACATTATTATGCAAAGTAGTTCCGGCTATGTGGGCTGGTGGTTGAGAATGTGCGAGATTGTGCATTCTTTAGCAATCGAAAAAAACTAGAATAATGCTATTCCGTAATTATTCTGAAAGAAATTGCAACATAAGTGTTAAAAGCTTTTTGAAAATGTAAAAAAATGGAGAAAATGGAATAAATACTTTACAGCCTCTCGCCGAACACAATGCCGACCAACGTAGCGTATGACAATTTTGTATATCTAACTAGCCAGATAAGATTATGTGCGTTCTGCATGCGAGTTCTCGCAATATGAGTAAATTGATATAAATCAGCTTGGAATCCGGATCTCACGAGTTTTCCTTCCAATTTCAACGTGGTCTTGCATTTGTCAAGGAAACACCTCAGTTCAAACTGTTATTTAACATCAGAAGATGATCCGTTAATAAATTGTTCTATATTGCTGTGTTAATGATCTTATTTACCAATGCGAAATGTGTATGTCCACCTTGATAAATATCAACATGTGTTTCGAAAATATTGTGAATTTTAAGAGTTCACGACACTTACACAAATGTATGTCGTATCAATCTTAAATGATAAGATGAGTGTGCGATTCCCCCGCGTGGTAGGTATATTGGAAAATATCAAAGTATACCAAAATACTATTTTCCATATTATTGAAAAAATATTAACTGGCTTCTGACCATAAATACGACTGTTTGATGTATTTTTAGTTATTTTTGTTCTGTTACTGATGCTTTCGTGTCATTTTCTCTTCATTCCAGAGCATCATTGTACAGTTCATAATGTGAATGCAACAGAAATTATTTGTGTACAAAACCTGATCAGTTACGATTTAATTTAAAAACATCTGCGGTTCGTTTGAGGCATTCATGTTTCAGTTACCTGTAATATAAGTCGCTGGAGGCATATAAACGTTCATCTCTATGTGTAATGTCTTCAGCACCGGCAGTGTCCTTGAGCAAAACAGCTGTGGACGTGCATCTTTCTCTGCAGTTCGATAGTTTTTTTAACATGCCAATATGCATAGAATAGTTCAATCATTATTTTAAAATTTAATAAAAATGAACAATGATTGTAAAATGTATACAGGTTCATCATAAACAACACTTTGATGATATTAGTCACTCCGAGGGATAATCATACTTATTGGAATTTAAGATAGAAGGAGTACCATATGGGTAAGTAGTATTTTGAATGAAATAAATTGAAATAACTCGTCCACTGACTCTACTAATGTCAGCATTATTATCGATTGGCTTACAGTTCACACTGTACCTTCAGGGTATTATCTAAACGATCAAAGACATAGAAGAAATAAACTTGGTATTAGCATTTTCTCTAACATGTTGATCCGAGTGTAAAGGTAATTCTTTAAAGTTTCCAAGTAACATTGATGTTCTCTGCATATGTAGAAGTCATGATGATGCATGTGTCACTACCATATGCGTTAACACATGCACTAAGTAAATTTCTTCTCCACCTACTTTTCGTTTTACTCCACTAATAATTATCATTAACTTCTGTAACTGATACATACATTCCTACTTCGCGAATAAATGATAAGGTTAATAATTTACTACTTCAACAACAATTAATAAGGTAAATAATTGTCTACTTCACCTTTAAGTACATAAAAACTACTCCCACTGTAATTGATATAGTACAGAAATGTCTACTCCACCTTTAATAAATAAAGTAAATATATTACTAATGCAACTGTAATCAACAAAGAACATAAATTACTGCTTCAATATTAATAAATACTTAACGTAAATTAGTACATCAGCTATAATTAAAAATTCGTAAATTAAAACTTGAGCTATAATTAATTGATAAAGTACATAAATTTCTACTTCAACTATAATCAATAAAGTAAATAAATTCCAGCTCCACCTATAATTTATACATAAACTTTATGTGTACGTCACTAATAATCGGTACAGTATATGTACAGTATATGTACAGTATAACTCGTCATTTATGTAGTACAAATGCCTATACTTAAACAATAGTTCTCGCTTATATTTCACAATAATTCATTCAGTAAATACATTTCTATTTACCAATAATTCACGCAGTAAAATGCATCAGCTACGTGGTATATATGCCTGTACTTTACCAATAACTCACGCAATAAATATGTTTGTACTTTAGGGTTTTACTGATGCTGTTATTCCTATGATTATGTACTGCCATATATGGCGGTGTTAAACAACACACACAACAAATCTTACTCCAACAAAATAAAAACATTCCACAAAACACAAACAACAAACTACATTAAGAAACGTGTTCAAATCTATAACTTTGTCAATTGACATATATAAGATGCTTCGAAAGTATTGCACTTGAGTGTCCTTTTATGTACTTATGACTGATATCTCTACGTCATTTGTTTATTTAATTTGTTTATCATTTGTTACAACAATGGATTAGCACACTTATTACGTGTATCATTGTATAAATCGTTCATCAAGAAAATGTTTATGCATAAATATAGCACTGTATTTGCATGTTATGTCTGAATGTTGAAATTAAGAACTGATATGATGAAAAATATAGTATTTACAGCGACACCATTCTTTACAGATGACATACAAGAGATGAATGACATCAGACCTGTTTTTATGTCCTTTACAATGAATAATTACTGTCATGGTTTAACAATTGCCGTTGTTGTGGTGTTGTATATGCATGTGTAGTGTACACAGACGGCCCGCAGTCCCCCCAGGTCTGCGTCAAATAGTGTCCTTATAAAAACATTTTCTTGTGCCTTTCTCAACTTTCTACAAAACATTTACATGCTTGTAATATGTTGTAATAGATATTGTCATGTTCAGATTTTACGTCACCTATTGTCATGAAATTTACAAAATAAAAAAGAAGTTTGTTCTAAAATATTGAGCCCAGGACGCCAAAATACTAGTATTACAAGATGCTTTGCATTCGAAGTACCTTTCCCAGATGTTCATCAATGGAAATAGTGCTGAGTATTTTAGATAGGAGTATATGGCATTAGGTTAGTGTCAGTGTTATTTGGGTGATGTTTCGAAGTTTTTATGAACAGTGTGACCCGGCGTTTGTGATGGTACGAATACATGCCTCTGTCCCCAACTCACCACACAGTCCAACTCTCACAGACAAATAAGCATATATATAAGCAAACAATCCACCTTCACTACTGCTACTACTAATGGTGCTGCTACTACTACAACTACTACAACTACTACTACTACTACTACTACTACTACTACTCTTACCACTACTACTACAGCTACTATCACTAGTCTGCATATTATCCCCAATCAGTGGATCAGTGTGCATTTATTTTTCTTTCTCAGCTGCTAAGGGTGTGTAACCCATCAACAATATCATCCTCCCGGGTACCCATGAACAGAGGCACACATCGAACAAAGTCCGTTTCCTCTACATGTGCTTCAGCGTGGGGCAGGAACAGCATCGAAGTCCAAGAAACTGTCAAAATTCAACCTGCCGAACGCTATCACCCATCCACCTACTTTCCGCATCCAGCTTTGCTCTTCACCATATTTGTGATCAGTGCGAGGCAGTTGTGCCCTGTCCGAGGTACACAGAGACATGCGAATAGTGACAAAGTTGTTTAAATGATTATTATTACTTACAGTCAAGGTAGCACATCATCTCTATGTGTGTGTGTGCGCGCGTGTGTGTGTGTGTGTGTGTGTGTGTGTGTGTGTGAGTGAGAGAGTGAGAGAGTGAGTGAGTGAGTGAGTGAGTGAGTGAGTGAGTGTGTGTGATATGTCATTGTATTAGTTTCTGCCAACCATTACTACCATGTGCTATGTCAAAATGATAAGGACACCATTGACAGTAAGGATAGGAACCATGAAATGTCTGCATATTTAATAGGGATGACAGGTGATCCATCAGTTAAACAACACAGGTAATAAGGATGCTTACCCCATGTTGGGGTGATGCTTTGCAAACAGCATAACACATATTCGTATAAGTTGTGATACAGATTATATCCTGGAAGATATCCTTATATACTCATGCCAACAATGGTTGTCACCCCCTCCCCACCCCAACCCCCAACACCCCACCCACACCCACACCCCACACCCCTCTCAATAAAAAAATTTGAAGGGGGTGACAACCATTATTGGCATGAGTAAAAATGCAAAGAAAATTTTCACAATCATAAATATGATTCTGAAAATTCGACTATCCTAAGTGATTATGCTGATATTTGAATAATCGAGGTGATAAAGATACTGATCTTACAACTGCGACAAAATTTCCAGCATTTGGATACATAACCTATCAGAAATCCTTTCAACAATAATGTTTATCATATACCAGAGATACGGCAATACCCGTGTGATGTTTATCTCATGAAAGCCCATGTAATAATGATATATATCCCCCATCACGAACAGGTGTTGTTGATGTTGATTACGTGTAAAGAATGAAGACAATATTAATATGCATCGCACGAAAGGGACAGTGTAATGAAACGTTTCCGCTGACAATGTAATCTCATGCTAATATCAAGCAGGTATATTGAGTATATGAAAAATAATGTATCTTCGCTGCATTGCATTAAAGAAAACAGTATTTCTTGACTATAATGTTTTCGTTTCTCTGTTCATTTCAGTATTTGCGTTTAGTGTTGTTATCCTGTTGATAATAGTCATTAATAATACTAATAAAATCAACATCATCATCATAGACAACATCAGCAGGTACAACAACATTATATTGCATTTTAGAAAACATGTTTCAAAAGCTTCATTATTATTCCAGTCAATGAAACATTGTGCTCGCGATCATTATAATCTCTCTGGGGTCTTCGCAACCAAACCTGCAAGTTTTACTCGAGATTAACAATCTCAGATCGCAGTCACATCATCATCATCACCATGAAAACATTTATATAGCGCCAATTTCCTATCGCCAACATCCTACCGGGTACCCATTCAGTGCTGGATGAAATGAATCTTATTTGAACAAGTCACTTGCCAATGGAGACAGAACATGTAATAATGTAACATGTTGTGAATGCACATACCTTGCACCATGGAAACATATGTGGAAATATCGGAGAATATACGAAAAAATATATTTTTAGAGCGTTTAATTCAAGGTCACGTCTACTAATTTAGTCACTGTACATCGCAACTCGGTACCAGGTTCGGAATATTTTTTTGTATGTGCAAAAGTATTCATTTATACATAGACACACACTAATATGAGCCACAAGTGGCATTCTTATGACTCACACTCCACCAGTATATTAGACACCTTATTTGGGGTAGGTGGGTTATTAATATACCCTCATGCGTATGGAATAAATGATCTTTGTACAATGGTTCCTGTGATGATTTATTATGTCATTAAAGGATATTAACATTTCCATCATCATAAAAAAACCTCTGCTATAAGCACTGTCCGGTGTTATATTAATACTATATGTTTGTAAGTCACGGTCGGTTTGTGATAACACCAGGTCTGTGGCGAACAACACATCAAAATGTCATTGACTGTTATGGGCTTCGTAATCATAGATAATGAAATTTCTGCTCCTTTCAAGAACCAATAATTAATTAAGAAAATTATATACCGAATCATAGATTATTACACATATTTATCTTTTCTAATGAATATCTTTGATGATTTTCTTTGTCAAAAGGCACAATGCACAAAAGCCTTTTATGTTTATAATTTATCCTAAAATACACATTACATGTGTATAGAGTTGTTTATTTGTTTAATATATCTAAAACTAAGGTTACGAAAGAGTACATATTGTCAATATACTTTTTAATTTGTATAGAATGCAAATATATGTTTCCTCCACGTGTTATCACATTAAGATTACGGGCATCTGTATTGGATACATATATTCATAACCACTTCATCCTTTAATGTGTGGATGTATACATGCACACACAGATACTTTTTAAACAAAACGCTTTCATCCACTGTACAAAATAATTCACCATACCCATATATGGTGTGTAACTAAAACTATTTGAATTGTGTAGTCAATAACGCGACATTTGTTCGAAGAAATATGATTTGAAAACAAAAACAAAAAAACAAACACAAACGCAAATATGAGCAAAGGTGAAGTCACCATGATCATCATAATCATTATCATGAAGTGGATATCCTCCTCCAGTATATTAGTCATAATTTGTATCTCAATATACAATATTACTAGGGCAATTTAGTAATAATCATAACTATATGTGACGTTTTATTTGTATGGCGTCATATTCAAGCGCTCAATTGCTTCTGTTATATCAGTGTAATTACATCATCTTGTTGACATAAATCGTTTGAAGTCATGGGCGTATGGTTTCATAAGTTTCCCATGTCTTACAAGTTTGTGATATCTATAATTCATTGAGATCTTTGTGTATTCTAGTCATTCTTACATATTCCCAACACATAAATTCAGTCATAATATCTTCTTAAACGGCTATTGTCATCGTGTAATCATCACTATATGTTTATATCAGGTAGTGTTAATAAGGGAGTGACCATCAAAATGCTATATTTTCTCACTCTTGAAGATTTTAGTTTGTAAAGTTATATTATGATGAATAAATAAATAATCATCTGTAAACACAAAAATCATAGATGAAAAAGTATTACCATCTGTTGTCATCATGTCCCTTTATTCAATGTCGTAATCAAGATGAAACAAATTCAGATATTCTTGTCAAATTAAATTGACGTATTCAACACTGTACTTTCAAGCATGAAGTGCATGGGTAGGATATATGGCAATGTTCAGTTATATTTATCAATACAATACAATTCATATATTACAAGAAGTGAGATACAAAATATACATGTAAGTCTAAAAATATGTGGAGATAACAGTCCTTAGTTTACTTTTACACAGAAAATATAAGGAATTAATATTTCTTAAAAATGTGAAATTAATGTTCTTGTTCATTACTGTGATTCAGCAGTTACCGCTCCCGTACTAGATGTGTTTTTTGATACAAGGTTAGAGATGGACTGACGCTTCTATTCCAAAAAAACATCACTCGTGATGTAGATAAAAAGAAAATGCTTACTCAGCTTGACAAACGCCATGTTCGTGACCTAGTAAATCTGTACTTTACACTCACCAGTGAGAGTTTACCTGGAGGTGTCACCGTGAGCTGGTCAGTGCAGGCCTGCTGCTGGTTCTGCTGTTACCATTCCTAGAGCCGTAAATCAAGCAGAATTACATATTCGACTGTCTTAGTAATTTTGGAATTTTATATCAATAAGCAAAAGTTAATAAAAGTTTGAAAAGCTGTTCCATGTTCATAAGGAATCTCTGCAATAAGGCGAGTCTATTGTACGATTCTAAATCTGTCATGAATATTTGTCATGCATCCTAGAAATGTTCTATGCACTAATAATAACACAGCCATAGATAATGCCTAACATATTCATAATAAAAATCCTGCTTGGGGCGTTTATCTACACCTTTGCTTTGTATTAACGGTTTACATTTTGACCCTTTTACACTTAATGAAAAGTTTCTCAACGACACATTTTTAAATAACTGTGTCCTCTCAGGTGATAAAAACACCTTAATATGTCAAAAATGTTTGTTACCACGACCTGAACATAAATGTTGGGCAATATAACTGATTGCTATATCTTGCTGCTAAGTCAACTCAATTGTATACAGATGCTATTCATACCTCGACGATTAACCCATAAACGTATATACTTATAAGTGCCATTTATTCAGGGGATTATTTCATGCATGGATCATAAGTAAGAAATACAGTATTATTTTTTTCCAAAACAATATTCCTCTTGTAGATTGATATAAGTGGGTTCTTTTAGTTTGTACATGTGAAATATGTATTCCACTGTTTATTGTTGTTATGTACAGTCAATAAGATGAAAGGGTTATGATCATTTCTGAAAGTTTGTTTCGTGACTTCTTCTTTTTATTTTAAGCATCATTTGCAATAACATTGTTCTCTCAGTATTTGTCATTCACGAACACATGTTCCTGTTATGGTTGACATCACACAATGGTCTCTATATTTAGTGGTTATTTATTATGATTGCAAGTGCTCTTGTCGCTTTTATTCATGGGATACTTTGATGTTAAGGTGAGCAACATAACCCATAACCAAACTGGTGTGTGAGGCTGAGTGTTTATTGCATTTTGTACATATATGTACAATTTTTTGTACTCATGCCTTATGGAATACAAACAACAAAAGGGTAACTCAGGTTTACATGGTTCTGCATAAATCAACAACCGATCAACTCTCTGAGTGCAGGTCTGACTGGCAATATTCACATCACTGCTTGAAACAGACAAGGTGTGTCTGTGGCGAACTTTACTGTTCTCTTGTCTCATACTTCAGCAGGGCATTGTCAGGTCGACCTTTGTGACCTAGCCGCCTCGTGCTAGTCTCATTCGTGGCCACTGCCAAATTTACAGAAACCCACCATCACTGATTCCTATCATAACGTACTTTAACAGATTTACTAACAGAGGATTATAGTCGAGGAGGATTGTCGGCGGACTATATTCCTACTCTCGAGACACTTGGCAAACATTAGCAAGTAGGGGGTGGGAGGGGGAGGGGAGGGATTTGAAAGGGTGTTGGGTGTAGGTTGTAGGTTGTAGGGTGTAGAGGTGGTGATATGATGCAGTGGTGCTCTATTTACCACCCTTTTAGAACAATAGGGGGATAAAGTAAGGCATTGTGGCTCTAAATTGCCTCTAATGATAAATACAACAGAAGTTAGCAGATGGCGATGAACGAATCAAGGATTTGCTTTGTTAACGACTTTAAAAAATGGTTTGAATGGTTTAATTAAATCCTCACCACTTGTATTATTTATTACATCAGTCACGGAAACAAAAAATACCCAAATAAACCCCACCGCCTTAGCAGTCGAAACGAAAATAGAATTTCAACATTCTGAAAATGTCCACCCAGAATAGTAGAAAAAATGTTACAAGTCAAAACTAATTTTTCTAAAATGTTTATTTCGTAAGCGTATTTTACTGCGTGTGAAAAAACTGTAAATTACATAAACCATGACGATTTCCCACATTAGTAAATTATTTATTGACAAATTAATAAAAGTCACCTTCTAACAGCAGCACTACGATTTATGAATTTTAAACACTTCTTTGCAGAAATAGAATGACTAGTGGCGACATTGGTTAAATCCTCATACACATTTGTCGAACGGTTTTATTACGAAAAATGTGTAAATACAGTATTATTCACTAAATTTTATGCAATAAATCATGATGACATTACACTTGAGAATTACGTCTAAATTCTTCTTGTCAGAAAAGGATTTATGTTTTTACCATTCCTTTCGGGTAAATACGGTTGCATCGTTTGTCCCGACAGTTGAACATGTGATGCATTCATTGAACGATGTTTAGAGTTACCCGCCCCTGTCCTGTACGAGACTGGTGTGTTTGGTTAAAGAAACGGCGGCTGCAGAGAGAAATAAATATATTTCTCCAGGACAAATTTATAAAGATAGATAAAACTGCAACGTTTCTTAATTCGCACATCACAACTTGTTGCTGAATGATTGATGTGTATTACTTAATCAATTTGACATAAGTTTTATTTATACAAGGTTGCTTCCATTCATATAGTAAAAAATCTTTAAGTGGTGAATGGTGATTAATAACTTGCAAAGAAGTGACAGGCTACATTTCAATAATAAAATGCAGACTACTAGTCCGTTTATGATATCGCCATGAAAGATATATTGCATGCAATTCATTAATTGCCATAACGCCCATTACCGCATAAAAAAGTCACCCTCTCCCTAACTCTCACCGAATTAGCAAAGGACACCAGGTAAAGTAACAAAAGATGCAATTTATAGACGATATATATCATAATCTTAAGTACCTTTTTATTTGAAAATAATATATAGATACAATATTTTATAAATGTTTTGATATCTACATGGTAAATGTATACTACACCGATGGAATAAACAGAACTTTGAAACAACAACTACACAATAAATAGTTTTATTCTGCAGTAATAGTCCATCTACCTTCTGTAGACTTACTGTATATTTCCATAATGTATGTGTGATCCAAATACATGATACAATAATATGAGTGATACTAAACAATCATTTTCGTTTCTTAAAAGCAACATGAATGAATGTCATCAATTTTGTAAGCACAGAGTGTGAAGTTGTTGACATAAGTTTTGACAACATCTCTAATGATGGGTTCCTGATCACATAACTTGGTAGAATAGCTTTTCTGATGTTGTTAAGGGAAGGGTATATCAAAGTAAAATGATAGCGATCTTCGATTTCATATTGATCACAGTGTGGGCAGATACGTTGCTCACGGGGTATATTTGATATTCGGTCTCTGTCAATCTGTAGACTTGTATGTCCAACCCATCCAAGAGCAAACTGGCGCGCATAAGTTCACAGTGAAGAGTCTAATAGCTATTTTTCAGCATCAAAAGTTCTTGTGTATGTTGAGTATATATCATAGCTTGAAGTATGATGTCCTTCGCTTAATTTAATCTGGTTTGCTTGCATGGCAAAATGCGATGAGAATGACACCATAGATTGATATTTAATCGAAGAAATAAAGGCATTATTTCAGAAAATTTAATTATATTTATCCGCAAAACAAATCCAAAAGTCCTTAATTTGCTAGAGCTGAGGCATTCTAGACTTGCCAAATCATCCTAGACTCGAGTAGAACTCCTACTGAATTTATCATCCAAAACTGTGTTCCACAGGAGATATTGCTTGTGTGAGATCAGACAATATCTCATTGGAGATATCGTTTTGACAGTAGATTTTACACAATGCCCTGACAATGCTATGACGTCATGAACTTGATGACGCCACAATGCTATGACATCGCTGCACTGCAAGTCTAATGGCAGTACTGTGTTCAGAGATGTACATTTTTCAATGAAAACTAATGAAGAGTGATTTTTGATGTTAAATAGAATCTCAATCTCTTGTCGTCTGATATCAAATATATCAACACTCGTTAATAAAAGTAAAAATAAATTTGTTACTTTATCAACTCGTGGGGATATATTTGATATCAAAAGGCACTCGGCTGAGACTCTCTATATATTCTCTTGGTCCTGGGACTGGGAAACCCACTAACTGTCACCGCATCAATAAATACAAACTACTACACTGTTGACATAATTTGATGTCATTTGTGTCAGGAAAAGTTGACACGTTTGGTAATAAGATTATGAAGAAATTCACCTTATTAGCCTTATGAAGACAAGTGTTAAAATCAGTCTTCAGTAGCCTGTGCTTGTCCGTATTATATTACAGTTTCCCCAATCTATCATTGAATAGTAGGTGAATACAAGGTTTTCTCAATTGAACATCTTGACCCGTGAAGATCCCGATTAGAATTGATCTTCAACAATCCATGCTTCCTTATAGTCGCCTAACGGGATCGGGTGGCCGTGATCACTGATATGGTTAATGCATTAATCGTAAACAAGTTCGATACATTTATGGCTATGATGCCAGTGGTTATCTCCCAATTGACAGACACCCATTTGACAGACACCCAGTTTACAGACACTGAACTAGAAGGTTAATTAGGGTAACACCTACGGGTATAATGGAACAGTCCACTGTGAGTAGAGCAGGGTGAGCCTGAAACAGGTTCGTTACTGAGAAGTTTGATTGTGGGTAAATATTTGTTGTAATTAAATGATAAATGATTTCTCTTCTGAAAATTGATTTTACTATCAATTACTATCGAACATAAAAACAGGTTTGTCACTGAGAGGTTTGATTGTATTTATTGATAGAAAAGACCCCTCCCAATAATAGCATATGTACAACAAAAGTTAACTGAGAAAACGTTTTGTTGGAGAGATATAGATATGTACATATTTGAAAACATTCCGATTTGCAGTAAATGAGACACCTGCATTGCCATGTAAGATACGATTAATACCAATCAGTGTTCTAATTTCAACAATACTTTCTAAAGATTGTAACAGTTTATGTCTTTGAGTAGTATACAATGGACATTCAAGGAAGTAATGAATAACATTCTCACATCCATGGCCACATTCACGTGATGCGTCATATTTTAAATATTTATTCTAAATATATCGTAATTAAGTGCACTCGTCATATATCTTGATATTGTGTTCAAAACATAAAACTTCTTTATTCCATATCA